CATTCCTACCTAGCATGAGGCATTTTGGGAGCTCACTGGCTTTGGGTTCCGTAGGAACTCTGAAGTTAAGCGAGAAGGGGGCTAGAGCAATCCCATGATGGGTGACCCACTGGGAAGTTGCTCGTGAGTTCCACAAAAACAAAAACCGTGAGGGAATGGTAAGCCCAAAGCGGACAATATCGTGCTACGGTGGTGGAGCGGGCCCGGGAAATGATCCGCCCCGGGTCGGGATGTGACAATTAACGTGGTAACACTATCTGCACGTTGGAAGTGGGCATTTTGCTCGTCTCTCCGATAATTTCCACATGGTATCAGAGTCAGGGAGTGGGCCCGTACTGCCACTTGATGGGTGGGTCTCCTTGGCCCCAAGCGATAATGGTGGGTCCCTTGGCCAAATGCGTAGGGTGAGTCCCCTTGGCTCCAAGTGGTTGTCGATTTGTGGATCTCATGAGGGGGAATGTTAAAATATTGAGGACAATATCGATGTTATTGGAAGTAGGTCTTTGGCCCGTCTCTCTAATAGTTTCTACATGTGGTACCATTCCTTATAAACTACTAGATGCTCCTTTCACTAGTTGATGTGGGACTCTCTATTTCGCTCAAATTGAAGCCAACAAAACCAACCGTTAGGCCGATCTTTCTCTTGAATCTACTGCATCCCAAATTTAAGCATTTTCTCCCGTAGTGTAGATTAGTATTGTGTAACAAAAAGGAAAAGTAATGAACCATAAACCCTATATAAAAGGGAAGAAATTTTAATTCTTATCCTATTGCAAAACTGTTATACGTAAATGCCCTAATAAAATCTCATTTTGCTAACTTGCAAACTCTTCTAACATGAATAAGATAACTCGCTAGGTTCAAGGCACATTAAAGGGAAAAAAAATTACAACTTCCAAATTGTTTTCAAGTTGAAGTTATAAGGTGAAATAGTCATGAAGGAAACTTATTGCTTCTAATCCCCACAAAAATGGTTTAGAATGAGAAGGGGTAACTTTCCTTTATGACTACTTTATCTTATATACCTTGAACACAATTTAAAATATGGCCTCTATTTCCTTTAATATATGCATGCCTTGATGTCAGCTAATCTTTTCTAACAATGCAGCCTAATTAGGATCAACCATCTTAAACACATCAAGAAAGCTTCATCCTGAGAAAGCTTAAAAACTTCAAGATAACCTAATCCTACTATTAAGATTTCATTATCCTTTATCAAATTACAGGAAAAAACGTTAAGCTGAGGTTCCTTACAGGGTGGAAGATTGCAATTCTAAAAGGGCAGATGAATGGACCAGTTTCTGGGTGTTGTTTACGATAGGCAAATATATAATCCTCTTGGTTCTTGCAATAATCGTATTCTATATAGAAATTGGAGTTGGTTTTAGATATATATGTATATACACACGCACACACAAATTAAGGGTATTCCTAAAGTTATCTTTTGATTTATTGTTACTTTCTCTGTAATGTTCGTACTGTTTTGTGTCATAGTCACCCTCTTCAAGGCTTGAAGGAAACATTTTATTGCTGATGGTACAAGCTAAGCACATAATATGTGTATGAGGAACTTAATTATGTTGATTTTTTGTTTAAATGGTTTTGTCTAAGAATACCAGGAATCAATATATACCACAACAAAATTCAGTCTAACAATTTCAATATAATTCTGTCTAACAATCATTGCCAGTGTATACATTGATAGAGAAGACTCCTGCCACAACTAGGTAGTACAGGTACTTAAATAACATAAAAACACCTTTGGCAATTGGTATCAACTATCAAATGCAAAACAAAGCAAGTGAAATCATTATTTTAAAAGAAGATTATATTATATTTCATAATGAGTTCCCCAGTCTCACTCATTTATTTGGTAGAACATGATTAGAATATAATATCACATATTTTAATAAAACATGTTTTATTCATAATGAGTTTAAATAAGGATAATTGGAATTATTCATTCTCTTTTATTTATAATTGTTAATTTGTTCGACACATATAGATGACTAAATTGTAATCGAATGATTGTTTTCTAAAGATACTCTTTAGATGGTGATATAGAGAATGAATAGTTTAAATTATGACGTTAGTGAGGAAAGAAGAAAGTCTTTCCACCAAGGATGAAAGGATTATTCGTAACAACCAATTTGGTGATTGGTGTTGTAGTTTAAGAGAGACAAGTTGCAACCCATCATTAATAGCATTGATATTGTCCTCACTTAATCACTCGTGTAGGCAATAGTTATGGGGCTTTTATGCAAACAGACTCGACGTAATTAGAAATGGAATCATTTGATATAAGTTGTGATTTTTTTTTAGATGACCAATATGAGACTTTTCAACAATCAGTATCAATGCAAAACAAAACAAGTAAAAACAATACTAAAAAAGATTTATATTGTCATATTCATAATGAGTTCCCAAGTCTCACTCATGTATTTGGTAGAACATAATTAGAAAACATTTCTAATTATAAAACATGTTTGATTTATTGATCATTAAGAATGGAACAGGCTGAATCAGGTATGTTGTCATCTTCAAAGGCAGCTAATTATTTGAGAAAGATTGCATATTTAAAGAGGTTACTTGAGAAGTGAAGCTAAATTGTACAAGGAAAAGCGACTTCAAGCTTGTAATTAGTTACGGGGTCAATAAAAAAACCTATACCCACCAACTCCCCATTGTTTTCCCTTCTCCTCCCACCTCCCACCTTCCACAGAATATAATATCAGTTTACAGCACACTAAAATACATACAAACATGACAAAAACACATAAAATAATTCAAAATATTACATGCAAATAAACCACCAACTAAACAAGAGTTAAACATCTCTAAAACAACAATAAACAAATCATTTTTATTCTAATTTTTTTGTAATTTGATTTCTGGAATGCTAAGAGGGTGATTGTAAGGTCACCCTCAATTCCTTCATCCCACATTGCTTCAATTTTCTGCTTGCTTTTTCTACACATTCTTTAAAAATCATTCCCTCTCCAATATTCTCCTCAGAAATTACTTGGTTTAGAAGAGTGAGGGAGAGTTAGAGAAAGAGCCTCAGATGATCAATTGGAGCACAAATTCCACTTGATAATCAACCTCTCTTTCTCTTTCTGTGATCAGTGAAGAAATCAAAGAAAGATTCCCAAAAAATGAAGAACAATATCAATACAAAGCTGATCCTTCTCCACCCTTACATCCAAAAGCAAGGAAGCTCTAACCGCCTATGGCTTCTGGCCTTCATGTCACTATTCACACTCGCCTTCCTCCTCACAATCGTCTACACAAGCGGCTTATACGCGTACTCATCCACCAGCACCACTACAACAACCACAATCCCCGCCCCCACAATAACTGCCACTAACAACGCCGCTCCACAGCTGCCCACCACGGTCATCAACACCCTCCTCCACTACGCATCAAAATCCAACGACACGTTCAAAATGTCGTACGCAGACATCAAACCCATCTCTGACGCGCTCCGAAAATGCTCCACCCCATGTAACTTCCTCATTTTCGGACTCACCCATGAAACCCTACTCTGGAAAGCCCTAAACAACAATGGTCGCACCGTCTACATCGACGAGAACAGGTACTACGCCGCCTACATGGAGGAGAAGCACCCTGAAATCGATGCCTACGACGTGCAGTACACGACGAAGCTGAAGGAAACGGAGGAGCTGATCGCCGTGGCAAAAGAGCAAATACGCAACGAGTGCCGGCCGGTGCAGAACCTGCTTTTCTCCGAATGCAAGCTGGGGATCAACGACCTGCCGAACCACGTGTACGAGGTCGAATGGGACGTGATCTTGGTGGACGGACCCAGCAGCGGGTGGCCGGACGCGCCAGGGAGAGTGATGTCCATATTCACGTCGGGGGTGCTGGCGAGGAGCAAGAAGGGCGGGAACGGGAAGACGCACGTGTTTGTGCATGACTTTGGTGGGACGGAGGTGATGGTTGCTGGGAACGAATTTTTGTGTCGGGAGAATTTGGTGGAGGCGACGGAGACGATGGGACATTACGTGGTGGAGAGAATGGACGAGAGTAGCTTCCAGTTCTGTCGCAACCAAACGACGTCGGTTTCGTCAGCAGCAAAGAATTCTTCTGCTTCTTCTTCTTCAGCATCGGCTTAATTAGCGATTGTTGGTGTTTGAATTTGGTGGTAATAATCATCATCATCATCATCCTCATCATTATCAACATGTAAGATTCAGCAAGTGAATATTTATGGTTTGGTTTTTTTTTTTAAGAATTTTTTTTCTTTGGTCTTTTTGTTTTTTCATGGGTGGGGGGGTGTAAAAATAATTTTCTTTTTGACAATGCAAGCAAAATTGTAATTTCCTTTCCCACTGAAATGAAAATATAAATTCCAGTTTTCATGGAAGCTATTATTCAACATCTTAATTTGTTATTAAGCACTTCAATAATAAATTGAGTCGATCAAAAGCAGAGTGTGAAAATTATTTTGCTGAAGAAGTGTACGATAGAGAAATCAGGAGGTGTAATTTACGTTAATCTCTCTTTTCATATTTACATCCTAAATTTTTGGGTTTGTGTTGGATTAACATTTGTCTTGATTGTCTCCCCATACACAGATGGTCAAAGAAGTAGGATCAAACCATGGTCTTAAATATCGATATTATCGACGATATTTCGTCGATAATATCGTTTTTTTGACAGGGGGATATTTTCACACGTATCCACCTTATTTTCGTCAATATATCGGGATAATATCGATAATATCGGTAATATCAGGATAATATCGGTAAAATAAACATAATAATTCAGTGTGTGTGTGTCGGTGTGTGTGTGTCAACGTGTGTGTGTGGTGTGGTGTGTGTGTGTTATGATAAATTGCATAATATAATATATAATATATATAATATAAATCCCCCAAACGGGCCAACTTTTGAAACTTTTGACAATTTTTGACAACTTTTGACAAGACAAAAAGTAGTGGTGGTTGGTTTCATACTCAAAACCGTGTGCCACTTCCAACTCTTTCACATTCAGAGAATCAGATCATCACACCTCTATTACACCTTTTCGTTTCTTCTTCTTCCCTTGGCCCTTTCAGAGCCTTTCCAGAGCCCTTTCAGAGCTTCAACACAAAGGGTTCCATATTTAAGGTAAGTTTACAAACTTATATTTATATTATTGTAATTTATACAACTACAAAAAAATTTGTGTGGACCCGTACATGTGATCTAAGAACCAAATAATATTTGCATGTTAATTTTTTGAAGTAATTAAGTAATGTTGTATAATTATTCCCCAGGATAATTTTAATATGTTTAATGTTATTTATTATTTTATTAATATTAGGTTTTATTATCAAATTGGATTATTATTCATTAATATTAGGTTTTTTTTTATTATCAAATTGGATTATTATTCATTAAATGGGATTATTATCAAATTGGATTATTCATTAAATTGGATTATTATTAAATTGGATTATTATCAAATTGGATTATTATTCATTAATATGTTTAATATTAAGATTATTTTATTATCAAATTGGATTATTATTCATTAATATTAGGTTTTATTATTCCATATTATTTTTATAATTACTTAAAATCTTGCAATCATTTTCTTTACTTCGTATTTAATTCTTCTGTAGAATAACTTTATTATTTAGGTTCTCTTATATAACCGTCATCACTACTATATTTTTTGGCCAAAATATAATTGCCTAATTTCCATGAAAAATAAATATAGGTACGTTTAAGATGTCTAGTGGAGTTACTAAACGTGATCCAGCTTGGGAACATGAAGACCCAATAGACGGAAACAAACATGGCACAATTTGCAAATATTATGGTCGGGTAATGAAGAGTGGCGGAATGACACGACTTAAGTACCATCTTAGTGGATTAGATCCAGAAAATAATGTCCAACAATGCGATAATATCCCCCCATACGTGAAGGCATTCATCACCACATTATTAAAAAATAAAAAACACCAGAAGGAAAAGAAAACACATGGAATGGAAAATATTCGAGCTGGGCTACGAGGAGAAGTCATTGGCCAAGCGGTTGACAATGATTATGATGATGATGACGATGAGGACAAATGTGATGATGACATAGGACCTGAAGAACAACGCAATTTCAAACAAGCATTACGTGCCTCTAAACAGTCAGAAAGGGAAAGAGAACACCTTCATAAAATTCCTAATAGAGCACAAGGTTCCAGGACGAGTGGTGGTGCACAAATGAGACGGGGAGCAAGTGTTAGAGAATCACAACCAACACCACCAATAGCCCCAAGTTTATATAAGTCATCCAAAACATGTCAAAAGAGTGTTTGGAGTTATTTCACTGGAGGTAATATGAATGAGGGAATGGGGCGCCTAATTAGCAAGTTCTTTATCTATGAAAATGTCCCTGCTGAGAAGGCATCATCACATCATTTCAAAAATATGGTATTGAGATGTCAACAGGCCGGTGTTGGAGTACAACCTCCCACTCCCTATGAGGTAAGAAACAAATATTTGGAAATGGAGTATAAAGACATTAGCGAGCATGTTAACAAGTTGAGGTTAAAGTGCGAAACTAATGGTTGCACAATCATGTGTGACGGATAGACTGGCCCGACCAGATTGTCTATCATAAACTTCATGGTATACTCCAAGGAAAAGACAATTTTTGTGAAGTCCGTTGAGGCTTCAGACCATATAAAGAACTATAAGTATATTTACAAATTATTGAGGGATGTAATCATGGAAGTGGGAGAGCATAATGTTGTCCAAGTCATGACCGACAACGGTTCTGCATTTGTCAAAGCTGGAAAAAAGTTAATGAAGCATCATAATGTGTTTTGGACATCACGTGCAGCACATTGTATTGATCTCATGTTTGAGGCAATGGGGAAGAAAGAGAATATTGCTAATGTCGTAAAAAGAGCTAGAACAATCACAAATTATATTTACAATCACGGTTGGTTATTGGCAAAGATGGTTGAATTTTGCAAAGGAGAAATTATTCGTCCAGCTATCACTCAATTCGCCACCAACTATATTGCATTAGACAACCTACTTAAGAAGAAAACAGGGTTGAAGCAACTATTCACTAGTGATGATTGGGCCAACCACAATTTCAGCCGCTCAAATGCAGGTCGTATAGTGGAAAGTATAGTGCTTGATCATGCTTTTTGGACTCAATCCGAACATGTGTGCCAACTATTTGAACCTCTTTACAAAGTTTTACGGATCGTTGACACAGAAGTGTATCCTACTATGAGGGCAATATATGAGTTGATGTGTGTAGTGAATGAGGACTTGGAAAGAAAACATGGTGCAAGGTGGGTCATAAAGATAATTGATGACCGATGGTATAAAACATTATACCACGATTTACATGCAGCAGGTATAAATTATGTCATAATTTGCTTTAGTTGCATAAGTATTATTTCTCTTATTAGAGTATGTGTTTCTTTGAATGACATATTATTTGAATCCTCGATACCAATACAGACCCGGTGTTGGAGATGATGGTACCCTTATACGTGTTGTACATAATGTATACTCTAAATTAGACCTTGCATTACCAACAGTTGGGCAATTTGGAAATGAGGTACACAATTACTTAAATTATAATAATTACATTGTTGGATTAAGCTAACACGATTTATTGAATTCAGCTAACATGGTTTAAAGATGCAAGAAGAACTTTTGGAGAACCAACATCAGTTGCTGCTCGAACAAAAATGTCTCCTAGTGAGTGTAAACATATTTCACTATCAGTTTATAATAGAATTTGTTGGAGTTATTAGGCTTATCAACATTGTTTTTCATTATAGCTGAATGGTGGATCATGTGTGGGACTGATGCACCAACTGTGAGAAAGTTAGCAATCAAAGTATTATCACAAACAGCTTCCTCATCTGCTTGTGAAAGAAATTGGAGTACATTTGCATTCATACACACAAAGCAAAGAAATAGGTTGGCTCATAGTAGGTTGGAAAAATTAGTTTATTGCTACTACAACATGAAGCTTCAAATTCGAGATAAGGAAGCAAAAATAGATCATGTCGACCGTGGTGACCCACTAGATGTGTTTGATATTGTTGTTGAAGATGATGATACAGAGGGTAACCAACTTTATCAATGGATTAGACCTCTTCATTTAGATGATGATGAAGGCAACCCAGCTCTAAGAGTTGCTGAAAAAGCACGTAATGAAGGGATAAATGTAGAAAGAGTATTAGAAGAGGAGGTAGGATCTAGCAGTGTTGACTCTTTCAAAGAACTTTTGCGCCCAAGACCAAGAAACACTGGAATTCCACCTTCTTCCAATCTTACACAACCACAAGATCCTGTTGATACTAATGATAGCTCTAGTACAAGATCAAGAGACTCACCTACCACCGGAGGTGGGAATGATGAAGGATATAGTGGAGCTGGAGGTAGTGGTGGATATGGAAACTATGTTGGACCACCTCCTGGATTCATGAGCCCTTTCACTGGTGAGGCAAACTTCACGCATGCAACACAAGATGAGGACCAGGAATTGGTGCCATAGGGAAGGACTATACTCGTAGAGAAAGAGGCAAGGGGACTTTGTCAAGTCAAGAAGATGACTCGTTATCTATAACTTCGGACTCTGTTGGAGTGAGAAGTAGTAACTATGGTTATACTCATAACCAACCATTTCCCTACCCTTCATATCCCATTCCTGTTGGGATGGAATCGAGCGACTCATGGAAAGAATCCGAGACTCAATCTTCAAATGATTTTGCTTATGGACAACGTCAACCAATCTCGGATCCATATGGATGGCATGTTAACAATTACATGCAAAACTATTTTGGGGATTTATCATTTGATGACTACTCTTCACAATACACTTACTTTACACATAGAGATGATGAAGATAGTGAATATTTTGAACCTCATGGGAACTCTATGTGGTACTAAGTCACTCATGTATCTTACCCTGCAATGTATAAAGTGTAAAATATTGTACTAATTCATTATATATAAATGATTATGGTGTGTTTAAACTTCTTTCATTAATTACTACATATTTTCTACACTCACAATATTTGCCAACTCGCTATATAATCAACTTAAATCAGTTAAATCCTTCATGCAATGCATTTCCTTCCAATTTTTTGTGATAAACTAATAGATAATAGACTAAATAACCATCCTACAAAGTTTCAATAAAAATTTCCAAGTTTTTCTTACAATTTCCGTGGCTTTTATTCAATTTTTATTGATATCGATAATATCCCGATATTTCCATCAAAATTTCCGTGTTTTTGGACTAATGATATTTCCGCTATCAGCGATATTTTAGACCTTGGATCAAACTAACAAATAATGATTGCTCCAACTACCTGAGATTTTCAATTGTTTGACGTGTTAACTGAACCAAATTCAAGTACCTTGTCGGCAAAACCAGCTCAACAGCTTGAGAAATTTTTATTATGACAGGAACACAAGTGGTACATCATGTGTTTTTATGTAAGTAGTGGAAATTTTTATTTTTTAAGTTATTAACTTTTTAACACATATATCCCATAATTTGTATAGTGACACGTGATGTACCATCTCGTGTGCCAGTTACACTGAAAAATCTCTCCAACTGCTCAAGCCTAATACAATAAGGCTAAATTGGATTAATGTTCCCGTGGTGAGAGAGTAATCAATACATAGCTCTTGTGGTGAAAAAAAATTGGAATTAAACCCTCATAATGAAATCTATTAGAATTCAAACCCAATATTAACATTTTTGTCAACTATCTGTTAACCCATTTGGCCTTCATAACTAAAGGGGATGTGGCCGCTAATTGGGGCGTGGGGATGTTTGGCCAGGTTGATACTCAGATACAGATAACGAGTTCAATATTGCAATCAAACATCTTTGAAAGTATTGCATAGAGCCATAGTGAAGCACGTCTATCAAATAGTAAGGGTAGCCGGACTGCTTCTAAAAGATTGGCATCAAATGAGACTAGGCTTCCTGATACTGGTGTCGATCGAGCAGTTGCCTCGGGGCAGGTTTTACGATCTTTCAGTTCACAAACTTCTGCTTCAAGGACAAAATTACCTCAAGCTTCAGTTAAACCAGCTGAAAAGGAGATGATCAGGTGAACATTAAACCGAATTTAGATTCAACTTTGTGATTTAAAGCATAACCAAAGGGAAAAAAACTCATTCATCCAAGGCTATGAATTCTTTGGTCCATTCTTCGATTCCATTCAAAGCTTTTTTGTCTATCTGATGGAACCACTAGCTTTCTTTAATGCAGCAGTAGCCATCGCATTAACATTAATAATAAATTTGGAGGAACTGATGGTGATTTGCTTGCCCAATCAATGGAATTTCGCAAGAGAGTTGAGGAGCAGTACGGTAATTTCCTCCAATGCTTCAATTAGCTATCTAGAAAACAGACAGAGTACGGGTGGAAATGTTAACAAAAAGTTGACGAAAATTTTAATTTTGGACTTGAATCTTAACAGACTTCACCACGAGAATTTAAATCATAATTTTTCACCATGGAGCTATCCTTTGATTATCTTATCACCACAGGAACTATTAATCTAATTTGGCCATACAATTATGGTCTAGCAGTATTCATCTTCACTTGTAAGTGAGAAATTTTAGGTTACATTCTCGCCAAAGACAAATTTGTACCACATTGTTGCTAGCCCATTGTGAGACTTAGTCTATTCCCAATTCATTTAGTGTAGATAATATCGTTTGTTAAAAATAAATAAAATATTTGGCCCTACAATAACAAAAGCGTTTATGGTGCACGATATTGGAGTAATTGTTTGTGAACTATCATTATAATTTTGGGACTTGTTTACAGTACATGCACTTGACTGTCGTCATGTATGGTCAAATATAACATTTCTATTTTTTGGTTGCATATATGGTTAGATAATAAATATATTAAGTAAATACATCTGCCATAACCAACATTTTTACATCCATGTACATTAGATGTTATAATATAGTGGTTCATTTGGTGACTTCAAAAGTGCAACTTTCACTCTGGAAAAGGAGGGCACCGCTGCACTAATGTGAAATTGTGACATGTAAATGTGGTGGAAAATATATATATATATATATATATATTTAATAGCGATATCATGATTATTTATTATAATATAAAGAGATGGCAGAATTGATATATAAACAAAATGATATATCATATATTATAAATCATAATATAAAGAGATGACAGCATTGATGTGTCCCACGTTTCTATTCGAAGGGAAAAAAAACAAGAACAGAGCAAAACATGCCGAATATGGCAAAAAACAATAACAAGCAAAGCCCAGAGAGAAACAAGACAAACCACAAGGTCCACAACACATCATCCCAAACCTCCTACTATCTGATTTTCTAATTAATCTAACAATTAAAAACGATTCACGGATGACACTTTATAGTAACAGATAATAATAATGTATATATTCGCAAATTCGATTTTCACCTTTTTTTTTTCTTTTTAATATTTAATAATTTAACTCACTAATGTTTTCATTTGTAAAGAAAATAAAAAACAATTCTTGACTTAAAAACATGGTGAATTCTCAAACATTTGTTGTCACTCAGATGAAGATTTGTAAAACCGCTTTGCAGCTGGGTTGGTTCTCCGCACCCCCTCCTTCTATGATTCTGATCGTGTTTTGCCTTCTTGCTTTGTTGGCATCAAAAGTTTTCCCTTGTTGGTCCTCGGATGATGAATATGGTTGCTAGTGTTGGCTACTTATTTCTTTTACTGAGTATTTTAGAGGCAAATTTGGTGAGGTACATGATGGTTGTAATAAAGACAACTTGCATCGACAAATGAAGCCTAATTAGACCGTCATGTGCTTTGTTTGAGCTTCTTTGCCTACTTGGCCTTCTAGAAGCTATTGATGTATGTCTTGATTTTATAAATGCTTTTAAGTTTTTCTGTTAAACGTTGCAGAACTAATTAGCTATTTAAAAACTGCGTTTAGCCATAGTAAGAGTAATGCGAATAATATGCACTTGTGTACTTTTCTTTTTGTCCTTAACTGATTACCATTTTGTTTCACATGTAATAGTGCTATAAAGAAGTAAACCAGGAGGTATGGAGATCTTGAAAAACCAATGGAAGGACCTCATCAATGGTCCGTACAAATTAAGGCCTTCCCTACTGAATATAAGCATTCGATCAAGTATATATTTTGCGTACTTATCTCGATTACAAAAAGGTTGTCAATGTAATATGAAAAGCAGAGCTGATATAAAATCGAATACGAAATAGTTAGGTCACCTTTGTTGAGTTAGAGTAGTAGAGCTTTTGCACAAGTCTAGCTCAGCCTACTTAAGATTAAGGACTACTGATCAAATTTAAGGAGAAAAGTTCTGTGAAGTGAGTGGAGGCATGGAACACCCCGTCGTCCCGATCACCATTGAACAAAATTCGTTTATGTTTTGATTTTGCAATGCTGCTCTTGACTCATTCAACAGTATACAAATAAGTTGATAATGTTTTGGACATTAAATTGTGACTACGTATCTATTGTTCGGTCTAGATACTCCATGTTTGTTCTCTTTCGAGCTTAGTATAGACTTCACGACTGATTCTTGCATAGTGTTACTGAAGTGGTTCATTTCGCCTTATGATCCTTTGTGCAGGCCAGATAATCCTCCGAATTTAAGGTACTAATGGAGGAATATATCAGCCTCTGCACAGGAATGTTTTCCATGGATAACAAACTTTTTCCCATTTTTTCGACGCTTTATCTTTTCATATTCTCCTGGTTACAGGCTTTTGTTTCTCGGTTCCTTCCAATGCCTTAGTACTCAGTGGATCACCATATGAGTTTGAAGGTGATAGAGCTGGAGATGCATTTTGGGTGATGCGTCTTATTGGTTACCCAGGTGCATGCTCTACAAATGGCTCAGACATTCCCACAAATGATGCCGGATGGTGATCTGTAATGCTGCTTAAGATGCTTGGGCTTCCCTTTATGTCTAATTTATATGTTACTGATGTCCTTTCCTCTTGTTTTCCCCGTTGCTCTCGTTTTGTTCATTGCTGGCGGCCAAACAATTCCCGTGGAGCTGACACTGATGATGGTAATCTTCTTCACCTTCAGCAAGTCGTGGCCTAGGAAAATCAATAAATCCCGGTCTTCTAAATTGTTGCATTACAGGTTTGTTGACATTGGTTAATCAGGATGACAATATAACTGCACTTCAGGTACTAGTTTTATATGCTGTTTGTATCCTGCCGCTCTAGTTTCCATAGAAGTTGAGTTGAATGACTTGTTGAAGGTGAGAAACCCGTCCGGTGAGTGGATATCGCTCCTCCAGTTCTCGGAACAATTGTCTGCAATATCGGAGATATGCTAAAGGTAAAATTAATGTGTGTAATTAGGTGTTCCTAATATCTGTACCAACTCCTGGATTAAGTATCAAGTCACTTCTCTCTCTAGGATGAGTGCAGATTTACTCAAATGGTTTAGACGATACCGGGTCTGTGTAGCATATGCATATCTCTGTGAGGTATGAGATTAGCCCGTTCCTTTCGTCTTGTAATGCGTTCTCCCCGCGTTCTTTCAGTTTCTGTTTTCTCTGTTATTCGTGTTTAGGTGCTAATCCCCTCTCTCAATGCTTCATGTTGTTTAACAGACAAATTTTGACACAGCAGTGGAGCCTTGGACTTTTGTAGAGAGAAGACAGGCGGAGCTAAGAAATTCGAAAGAGCTGTTTATGGCGAACATTTGGTTAAGTACAAACGAACTTCGTACATTAGTCGAAATCTAGTGTACGATACATCGAATGAAAATGGCGAACCCTAAAGATTGGGTATTTGTGAGTCGAAGAGACTGAACTCGGACAAAAAATTCAAGAGATTTAATAGGATTCAAATGAACATGAACAACTCCTCATTCGGGTATCGAAACACGAAGCAAACTGAAAACATAAGTCACTGAATGGGATGTTAATACAATTGATGTTTTCCCCTTTTTTTAAGGGGGCGTAGACTGAGATGCGCCAATCAGCAATAACAAAAGAATGCGGTATAATAGGGAGGTGCACCTTATAATCTAACATTACAACATTGAGATCGATATAATCTAACATTATATCTGGAACAGACCCTCATTAAACCAGTATCCCAAAGTTCAAGTACACGACCCATTTGCAGAAACAGTTGCAGCAGTAGTTTCTTTTAGATGAAGTGGAATACCTGCCCCCAGCTCTCTCAGCCGGTCTACTATACCGTAAAGAAATTCAAAAGTGAGTCTATTTTGTGCATTGAGATCTTCTCTTATGTGTGGATGAATTCGGAACCATTCCCCCAGCATCTTGTGCACATGAGCGCGAATCATCCGCCAAGGCACAGGGTATTGTTCACAAAGCTTCAAATACTCCACCAAAAGATCTGCCTGGTCCAGTGTCCCATCTTTCTTAGTTTCTTCATTCTCAGCTGCCCATTCAGCAGTTCGAAACCCAGCAAAGAGAGCTGGATTCTCAAGAAGCGACTCCGCGGAAAGCACCCCATCAGCACCAGTCGCTTCCAAACAGTCACGAACATCGTCCATGTGCCTGATGTTACCATTGGCAAGGACGGGGATTCTGAGAGCATTCTTGACGGCCCTGATGGCATCCCAGTTGGCCCGGACTTTCTTCTGGTCTTTCTCATCTCTGGTCCGGCCGTGGACAGCCAAAAGTGAGCAACCCGCATCCTCAAGCATCCTAGCATACTTGATTGTATCCTCTAAATTTGGAAAGATTCGGACTTTGCATGACACAGGCACATTCAGGTTTTGAACCAAGTTCTCTACCAGAGATTTTATAAGAGGAAGGTTATCCATTAGAAAAGCTCCGTAATTCCCCCTCCTCGCAATACGCTGAGGACACCTGAACACGAATCCACACATTAACTAACGATCTGAGGATTCCAATCCCTAAATGTCATACTAACTCAAAAGGGTATTTGGGAATTCAAATTAGTTGTTCGTGTGTTGTACGTTTCTAATGCCAACAAGTAAACAAAAATTCACTTCGACAATTGAACATTTCGGAATTGTTAACACTAATTTCATTCATAAACAAAAGAATAATTATCTGGGATTAGATAAGCAATTACCCCAAATTAATGTCGACATAATCACAATGAGGCTCCACTTTCTTTGCAGCCTCCAACAAAACTTCAGGATCATTGGCACAAAATTGAACAAATAATGGACGGTCCTCCTGCAATACTCTCAAAATTTAATCCATCAATTAGTAAAAAATTACTACATTAATCACCAAATTAAAGTAAATTTACCTTGCAAGTGGTAAATTCTTGCTCCCGGTACTTCTCACTCTCGGTGAAAATGCGAGAGTGGAGCATCGGCGTGTAGGCGGCATCGGCCCCGTACTTACGGCAGAGCATACGAAACGGGAGCTCCGAGTTGTCCACCATTGGCGCCACAATCAGTTTGGGCCGCCCCAGTTTCGACCAGTGAGCCCATGCCCGCTCGATGCGCGACTCGCCAGTCAAGCAGCGCAGCGGCGTTGTAACGGCGAAGGTCTGCTGTTGTTGCTCTTCTTGTTGTTGGTGGTGGTCGGAGCAGAGGGAGTCGTCGAGGTCTTGCGGTGGGGCCGAATGGAGAGTTCGGGTTCGGATTTGGGATTCTGCGGCGGTGAGAAGAGAGGCCATGTGAGATTTAGGGGTTAGGGGATATAGGGTTTTGGGAGGGAGAAGGGGTAGATTGGAGATTTTGAATCTCATAGGCGGACGACGGGAATGGAGACGGAGAAGCAACCCATCAACGCCTTTTGGATGAGGAGGTTGTGGGACGGTTGCTTACGCAGTGGACTCCAGAAGTTGTGCGAACAGCATCGCGTTAAGGTCTAAAGCTAGGGTTTTACGACATGGCGTTCTAGCGAGTTAAACCCATAAAAGCCCATTGAAGTGACCAAATTGGGCCTTCAAGAGTTTTTTGTATTTTTATTTTTTTTTAACAAATCTACACTAAAAATTCATCTAAACTATGGAGAAGGAGATTCAAATCCGGGTTCTTGAGTGCATATGCAAATGTTCTTAACCAATTAAGTTATAACTCACTTGCTTTTTATTTATTTATTTTCTTTGAATTAAAAGTTTTTTGCTCAACAATATACATTCGGGGTGCCTTTTTATTATTTTTTTTTTATACAAAGATAACGGAATGGTTCATGGTTTGTTTGTATTAAGTCACACAGTAAAAATCGAATTTAAGACATTTCATTGACAACTGGAGTAGATTGTAGTGCTAGTAGCTATAACATTTATTAGTAGGCGAATATATGGACAACACTAAAATGAAAGTTTTTTATATTGACAAGAATATCCCTTTTTAAAAGAATAGTGTTAAAGTCATCAATTTATTCACTAAACGTGTTATTACCTTACTTGGTAGTAATAAATAAGGTTAAAAGTAGACTCAAATATAGAATGATCGAACATTGTCACGTTATTTAGAGTATGTGGGAAGAAATTCAACATATCGTAAAATTTCAATTGTGCCAGTTAAACTAATAAATAAAAAGATATGTAAAGTTCTTGTTACGTAAGTAGGTTGCGAGTCCAAATATAAAAGGTGCGTAGGTAGACATAGGAGAGCAATGAGAATTTAAGTGCTAAAGTTTCTTCGCTAAGTAAAGAACAATTACCTCCCATGGTTATGTTTGAAGGTGAAGTCCCTCTTATAGTGGTGAAGCGGAGAGTGAGTTTAGCTCGTAGGTACACACGTCATGTGTTCATCTATTATGGTATGAATTGTTATCTCATTCATCAAATCAATTAATCGTTTGAATAGAAAGCTGTGATGAATGACGCAATTAAGAGTCCTCTAGATCGCTAATGGTGTCGTGGGTTAGGTTTGTGGCTGAGCGATTTTATGGAGTACACACTCCATTAGTACACACTAATAGACTGCTTGGCATGAGCTTAAGAGGTCTTATTTCCATGGTTGGCATGTCTGATGCGCGAGTTCAACTGAAGCGGCTTTCTCCGTTGGGCTGTCATACAAGGCTTCACCTACCTCACGTAGTGGTTGTCAGATTAGGCATATCATTCACGCGTTGGCTCGAGAGGTAAAATCCTCAACTTTTCTCAGAGCAATTCCACTGGAGAACTGATAAGCCGGTACCCAGTCAAATAAATGGCCCGGCACCCAGGCTTTGCACTCCAGCCCAACAGATAGGTTGGCACCCAGCCCAAGCCAGGCAAGAGACCGGCCTAGAATCGAAAGACCCATGGGACAGCCTACATGACACAAGCTGACGTCAGTCACTTTTTTTTTTCTTTTTTTTTTTTTTTTGTGCCAAAGAGGGAGTTGTTGTGGAGGCTAAGTTCGTCGGAAAATCTGAAAAAAAAAATGCATAGACAACATGTTTGCATCAACGCAAAGGTTTCCAACACGATTTATAAGTTAGAAACCATAAGAATAGGATTGAGAACTTACCCAGGTGAAATGCAAGAGATTTCACCGAGAATTGGACTTTGAACTCGTTGGAGTTTGTCCATTTTCCTTTGTTGGAATCACATCCGGGAATTAAGCCCTCGAATTAACCACAAAAATTGCAACACAACAGGATTTAAAGCTCAAGAACACAATACAGTGATAGAAACATCACCTGGGTTAGAGATTGAGAGCTCAAGCTCTCGGCTTCAATGGTAGGACCTCGCACCATGCACCAATGCCGCATGCAAGGCCATGGTTGGGTTCCTTGAGCTCCAGGGATTACAAACATAATATTTTGTGTTTGATTTGTTGAAGGTTTTGAAGAGGAAGGAGAAGGAGAGCTCACAGAAGTGAGCTGGAAAAGAGAGTGAGGTGGAGAGAAAATAGATAAAGAAAGAGAGAGGGAAAGAGAGAGAGAGAGAGAGAGAGAGAGAGAGATATCTAGTCAAATGATGGGAAAAAGGTCATTATTTTAAAGGTCCAATTGGAGATGCATTTTATTTAATCATATTTTAATAAAATGGACTAGGCTATTTTTTTTAGGGTTGAATGCATTTGGACTATTACTATTCATTAGGATCATCACTGTTTACTGAGTGAATTAAATAGGCTGAGTGCTAGCGCATTTTTTTTAGGGGCGGAATTGCTCTCATTAGATGACGGAAACGGATTTTTCCAATTTCACCCTACATAAATTACCTTTTGACTTTTGCCAGCCACCTTCTCCCTAAAACCTAAACCCTTAGAGTGGCTTGAATAACTGAAAATCAAAAGAAAACAAAAAAAACTGATCGAAAATTGAACTGAAATTATTGGTTTGGTTTCAATTTTGGTAGTTAAATAACCCAATTGAACCGAAATGAGTGCAATATAACATTTTCTAATCGAATTCCAAGTCAATTATTAGCCTAAAGTCAATCTAAGACTAGATAACCCAACTTCAGACTCAAATATATTCAAAGTCTTATTACCTAAATTTTTTTTCTTCATTTTCTCTCGAATTTTTGGGCTATTATAAAAAGAACTTTGAAAACAAATTGAAACCAAACCAAACTAAACCGAAAAAATCAAGTCAAAATAATTATGTTTCTCCTTTATAAATTGAAAAAACAAACCTGTGGAGCCTACAATGATTCTAAAAATTCAAAAGGCAACACGTTAACTTTTTCTTTAGAAAAACAAGATTGCCCTTATTAAATGGGTAGGATACACAAATTTTCCCACGCGCAGCTCAACAACCTTGGAAGTTCAAGGAGCAGACACAATTGCTCAAAGCTCCCTACTCGTGGCATGGAAATGTTAAAAGTATTAAAATTAAGATTAATTACTAAATCCTATATTTAATACAATCTCAATTGAAGAAATTGAAGATCAACTCCATCAAATAAGGAATTCTCTTCACAATCAATTAGGGATACTCCCACCATTATCCCAATATATTATCTCCTAAATAATATCTTGGGAATATTATTTTCTCAGGCATCCTACGGATGACATACCTTGACCAATAGGATGCTACCATGTGTAGGGCAAAACTCTAATACCATGGCCGGCCATCTCCTCCTATAAATACATCCATTTCCTCAAAACTTTGGTAAGCTTTTTGCTATGCATACAAGCCCTAAACACTCACTTTTTTAGAGAAACTAACTTAGGCATTGGAGATCCAGTGGCCAATCTCCCCCCCAAACTTTGTGGGCACATGAGACTTTGGACTTTGATCAAAGGTGTTGATTGTTTTTTAGGTACAAATTCATCAAGACTGAAGAATTGGTGCTTTCATCGAGAACTTAATTCAAACACTCAAAGAAGGCTCTCACATTCATGTTTTGAATTCTTCCATTAAATACATAAATATTCCAACACGTTTCTATTCTTAGAATCTTTTATATGTCCCTTGAATAGTCCTGGGAAAGAAAAATGATATGACGGAAAATTCTAAAACAACGACAAATGGCGCTCCTTATGTACTAGGGTTTTCTCCCACACGATGGATCATGGAGCAAGAATGATGGACATAAACTAAATTATTTAACCTTGTTGTATCTAGTATATTTCTTTTATTTGTATGTATCCCCTCAAAAGTGCTCTGATTCATTTCACAATCGGATGAACTTGTAATAAATCCATCCTTTGCAAATTAGGTATACCATTTCCATAAGTATACCACCATGAAACTGAAAAAAAATAAATAAAAAAAAATAAAAAAGCACACAATTAATATTAAAATAAAAAATAAAAAAACCAAACCGCCTAGGACCTCCTAGGCGATCCCCTAGCTCCAGATCGATTTTTCGAAACGATTTGCACTAAATCGCAACAGGCCTTCACTGCCTAGCGCCTAGGCCAATTTTTAGAACACTGCTCCCCACACGCAAGCCTAGAAAGCCAGGTGCTCCAGCTTGTAGCAAGGTGGGTTAGGCCCACCCTATGACCTAGATCCGTGTCTCTTAGGACCCAAACCGGTCTAAACCAACTCCAGATCAGTTTAGCTGAACCATCGGCCAACTGAAAAAAATATCGACGACCATTTCTAGCCATTTTTTGGCGTTCTACACCCATTTTCAGTGTTTTTGACCTTTTTTTTTTTTTGCAAACTTGACTTCTTTAGGCTCAAATTTCGCGCCTGATGTTCACTACACTTCCACCACTCATGGAGATGCACTTTAGACGAGCTGCTCAACTTCTAGTGGCGATCCATAAATATCCCAAAAAATTACGGACTTGACTAGCACCCTCGCACAACAGTTTACCTTGACAAGTCAACTCCTCGTGCACATCAACAAGCAACGCACTCTTGACAAGGTGTCCCGAAGCAGGACATAACTGATGATAATATTTTTTCCCACAAAAAATCGCTTAACCATATAAACAAGGCGTTCTGGCAGTGCACTCCCTTATAAACCCCCGCGAAAATATTTTCTCCCCACCTTAGAGCACTAGAAAACTATCCATTCCCAGAAGGCTAACAGGTGAGTGCACGTCCATGGTGGTGGTCCACACTTTGACGAACACTCGAGGCCCGAATCCAGCACAGTGTTCATTCTCAACATGGCTTGCATGGAGTTTCTTCCACCTTATACCAGAGCATGCAACATAGAAACATAAAGAAACTCAAGAATTCTCAAGCTCAAGTTCAAATGGCACTCAATGCCTGTCACAACCACGATCAACCTGCTCATTAGCTAGAGACAAACGACGTGTAACGTAGCCAGCCGAAAAAGCAGCACAAACTTGCAAACTACCACTAGAGACAACCAAGGTGCCATCGCCCAACAAAATCAAATCTAAAAGGAAGTAAAAACGCTCAAACTCAATATCAATTGGCAATCTACGCCAAGCGTAACCACGAGCAACCAACTCATCAGCCAAGAACGAACTGTGTGTACTGTAGCCATAATACGAACGAGCAGGACATAAGAAGGGCAGCACAGACCCACAAGTCATCATCGGGGGCAATCGAAGGCTTCCCAACAAAGGAAGATCCATAAGGAAGTAGCGCACGTAGACCATCGACGAAACACCACATAATAATGCCTATCCTCGGCTCACGCCGAGCCAATATTTCAAGTCTCAAAGCTCCAGAAAAAAATTAAGCAGAAAGAAAATTAATCTTTTCTTACCTTTGTGCGGCACAGAGAAAAAGAAAAACAACGATGAACAACTCTTTGCAAGGGCAGGCAAAGAAGAAGGCTAGGGAAGGGGGAATAAATTTCCATTGGTTTTATCTCTTTCTTGTTGGGAAAAATTGGTCTCCAAATTTATTTAACCCTCTACTTAAGGCAGGCTTAAATAGGTTTTGGTGGCAATTGGTTTCCTTTAAGTAGAAGAACTACATCAAATTAGGAAACAACTCTCTGCTTACCCAAGTAGCTTGGGATTTCTACACTTACTGCCCTTTTCTGCTTGTAGCCTAGCAAGTGTTGGGCCTTTGTGGTGGCAAAAATAGTCCCAAAGATCCAAAAGATGACACGTGAACTTTTTTCTCAAGTAAGACAAGATTGCCCTTATTAAATGGACAGGTCACACAAATATTCTCACGCGATGCTCAACAGCCTCGGAAGTTCAAGCAGGGGAATACGAATGCTCAAAACTCCCCTGCTCGTGGCATGGAAAAGTCAAAGGTATTAAAGATAGGCTTAAATTCTAAATCCTATCTTTAATAAAATCTCAAATGAAAATCAATTCCATCAAGGAATCCTCACAATCAATCGGAGATACTCTCACCATTATCCCAAGATATTATCTCATAATTAATATCTTGGGAATATTATTTCCTCGCGCATCCTCTGGATGACATACCTTGGCCAATAGGATGCCGCCATGTGTATAGCAAAGCCCTAATACTATGGTTGGCCACTTGCTCCTATAAATACATCCATCTCCTCCAAATTTTGGTAAGCCTTTTGCTACGCATACAAGCTCTGAACACTTACTCTTTTTAGATAAACTAACTTAGGTATCAGAGATCCATTGGCCAAACCACTTCCCAACCTCATAAGGGCGTGAAACGGCTTTTGTTTTTGATCAAAAGTGTTGATTATTTTATAAGTATAAATTCGGCAGGACTGAAGATGACATATTTTTGCTACTAGAGAACCAAACTAAAATAAACCGAACGCACTCCTAAATTTGAAGGTGCCGTAGTTTTACCGCAATTAAGAATATTTTCAACATTAAAGTCTTAGAAGAGTGGGTCTTATTAATTCTTTTTATAAGATGGGTGGTCATATAAACTAATCCAAAAGTAATCTTTGATTCTTCAAGAGGATAAATGGCCCTTGTGCAAGACTTTTTTGTTATGTTTTTCATTTCAAGCAATTTTAAGTTACACTAAAAATAAGAAAGGTTTAAACTTGAAAAGCAATGTGTTAAAGAAGAAATCTATCCATCAAAGAGATCATTTATGAGTGCAAGACCTTATTTATAAGTGGAACAAAAAGTCATTGTCTTTCTCTAAAAATTATCTTATTAGGAACATTATGCTACATTTATAATTCATTTCTGTATATATAACGTGTTTTATTTTATTTTATTTGTAAGAACATCGATATTTGATATTGAAGAAATGAACTAGTGTAGTACAAAAGCAAAGAAGAAAGTGGAAGCCAAACAAAACAAGAGAGTAATGAATGTTTAGGTGAGCTAAACTACTTAAAAAACTTGGCCATCTAACTATTATTATAGTCTTACTCTCGTCCTATACAAGATCATTAGAATGAATCAAGACTCTGTAATTTAATTATCAATTACTAGTGTAGTATATTTTTTTTACAAAGCAATTTGAAAAAACAATTACAATCATGTGACAATCTTACAATCACATTCAAGAATTTTGTCATAACGTCGACTGATTTGTGCCTGAAATTTATGGGATTGAGCTTGTGTATTTGAGCTAGCCACATGTAAATGATGAGGAATTGACAACGATGGAGCACCTTGGGGACCATAGATACTTACATAGAGGTTTTATTTTTTAGGCAATCCCAAATGCAAACAAATAACAAACTAGTGCAAACCCACACCAATTGGGGCCCATAAGTGGTCAAAATGATGAATTGCCCACCCACAAATGTTGACTTGAACATTACTTTTCCCACTACTACTACCCCCACCTTTGAGGCAAAGACATTGCAAAAAATATATTAATAAATAACAATAATTGCCCACCCACAAACTTTGACTTGAGCTTTAATTTTCCCCAACCGATCCTCTTCGGATCTTTTGATAAGTATTTATTAGGTACGGTTTGTATTTAATTTTAAATAAAAATATTAAAATAATTTCTAACCGCACGATGTACGATTAACGAATATGATTCATGAATTTCTAGAATCCTCATAAAAATGATCCGGAGGATCTGGATTCTAATTTTCCGACCCACATCAAAAGCTTGAACTCCATCATCATATTTGTCACTTAATACCACGGTCTAATAATATTCTTTTTTACTTGTAAGTGAAAGATTTTAGGTTTGATTCTCACCAAAAATAAATTTATATCACATTATTGCTCGCCTGTTGTAAGACTAATTTCGTCCCCCTTCTCCTTCTAATAGATTATATCGTTTGTTCAAAATATAAAAAAACACCATTTTTGTCTTTGAAGGACTTTGCAGCCCCTTTTGTAGGCCAACAATTTTCTCCTTAATTCCCTCCAAATTCATCCAACCATTTTCTCAGGAACCAAACAGAAAACACTCTCTCTCTAAATAATCCCACCTCTACCAATACCCAATTAGCCTCGCTGGAAAAAAAAAACCCAATTAGCCGTTCCCAACCAGCCAACCTGCCAACCCCAAAGTTGCCTTTGGTCAACCGTCACAAATACGACATGTTGGTCCACTTCTTTACAATTCTTTGACCCGGTACCTTTCATTTCTTTGAATTTTCACCTTTCCCTACACTATTTTATTCAAAAGAAAATGAAAAAACCTAAACTTGGGGTGATGGAGGGAAAAAGTAGGCATCATGATCCATCCAAGACAAGAACCAAAGTAAAAGCAATCAATCCAAATACAAAAACATCAAGTTGGAAAGAACAGTCCCCAACACCCACTCTCTTCTTTTTCTAATCAATTACACAAATCACTCTATTACACTAATCACTATTAATACGGATTAAATTAGTTAAGCAGGACAATGTGTTTTCGAATCAACATGTATAATACCAAATCCACTATCATTGTTTCTATTTTTGTTTTAAATAAGATTTAATTCACATTGTTTGAAGAGAAAGGGAATCCCCATATTGTACAGCACAATGAACTAATTTGACTCAACTCATCACCTCCTTCGAGATGGAACTGAGTCCGACCGAGTCAGTCCGAGTTGGAACTGTAAAACTACCATCACTGTACTACCATTAATTCCCCTCCCAAAGCAAAAAGAAGGAAAAAAAACCCAAAAGATTCAACTTTGATGATCTAAGAAGATTCTAGAATGAGATTGGAGGTCTCTGCAACTGAGAGAGAGTGATTGTGGTCACCTTCGTAGGTAACCACTAGCATTGCCGGATCGTCCAGAGCTCTCTCTACGTGTTTTCGAGCCGGGCATCCTCTTACGCTGCTGCATTTGTAGTATCCCCTGAAAATTTACACAAATCAGAACAAGAACTGAAGAACAGAGCATAAACTCCCAATAGTTCAGAGTTTGGGGAGGCAAAAAAGTCCAACTGAAGTGATTTAGCTCGAGCGATCGAAGCTTTGGATCGGAGTTCTACCTTGGATGTGGAGATCCCTTGATGGGTTTCTGTCCGTACTTTCTCCAGGAGTAATCGTCGGGTGGGATATCCGCCATCTTCAAGCTTATAGCTGGAACTCTTACAACCCTCTTCTGTCTCAGCTTTCTGTAACGAAACCCACAATCCAGAATTTCAATTTAGTAAACAGATTAAGAGAGGGATTAATTAAGTTAATCAGAAGCTAAACTTTGATTAAGAGAAAGACTGGAAAGAGAAAGGGACCCACCTCTTCTTAGAGCAATGGCAGCGGCCGGAGGATCCAACACCGCACTTCCCAGAGCCCAAGTTCTCGGAGCCGCACTTGCGCTTCAGCGAGGTGGAGGAAAGCGGCGGCTTTCCGGCTGAGGAAACCTGGGACAAATTGGTAATTTGAAAAGCCGAAGACGACATTGGTTGCTTGCTGTCGGAGTCGCCGGTCAACGACGACATAAACGACGTCGCAGCTGAATACGAGAAATTTATAGTGTTAGAGGAGTCCATAGTGCTCTCGAGCACCATACTGTGGTGATGGTGATGAGGAGGCGGGATCTGCTGGATCGGCGTCGCATGGTAAACTTCGGTGGACTCTAAAGGAGCTTGCTTGACGACGATGTCTTGGCTATGGCTCTGGTATTGGGGTTGGAAAGACGACCCGGAAGTCAAAGTCAAAGGGGCTCGCCGGAACCGGGCGTGGCCGGTCCGGGTCCGACCCAGAAGAGAAATGACCTTCTTGAACTTGGAAACGGCGACGTCGGCGACGGCTCTGCAATCCATGTCCATAGCCGTCAACGGATACTTCTCTTGGTGCTGGTTCTGCTGCGTCTGCGACAGCAACCGAATAAGCTTCTCGACGCTCTCGAGGCCGGAAGCCGCTTCCTGCACGGCGTTTTCTTCCAACTTGGCGGAGAAGCTGCTATTGCTGCTGGTGTTTCTGTAACCCATGAAATCAACGGCCATATCTGACCCTCTTGAGCATAACAAGGAAAAGGAAAAGCAGCAGAACAGAGAAAGCAGAGAGGGGAGAGGAAAAAGGAAAAGCGTAAAAGAGAGGGGGGAAGGGGTGTTGATAAAGAGGAGAAAAACGGTTACTCCACGTATCACAGTACAATTACAGGAATGGAAAAATATAATTGTTTTTTAATATCCGATATGGGATGGTAGCGGATTTGCTATCCCTAAAATATTCAAAAATACTATTTTTATTATTTATTTAAACTATAATTTATATTATCCCTCTAATAAAAATGAGATCTATGTACGTTAGCACGACTTATATCTATTAAAGAAATGATACAAATGATAATACAACTAGATGATGAATGTAGCATTATATCTCCTTGTTAATTTTGCGACATTGTTAAGTCCATTAGAACATAACTGAAATACAAAATATAACAATCCCATCATTTTACTAGCTTTTCTACCCATTCCAGTCAATGTCTTCTGAGCTTATTCTAGTGCAACAATAATGTTAAAGAGACTAAATTTGCAAACTAAATGATGTGTCATCAATAGGAATAATCACGTTTATCAATGTTTAAGTAATAAACCAATCATTAATTTCCATGTCTCTTAGTTTTTAAAACTTTATCTACAAATTTAGTCTCCCCAGCATTACCCCTTCCTTATTATCGGCTCCTTTGCAATATGATGATATCATTAGAAGGCTTAAGGCTTGTTTTGTATTCTACTTGAATCTAATTTTTTAGATTCAAAAACACTTTTTAAGTTTTACAAATTGAATACTTGTTTGTTAGGCATGTTTTGAAAAATTGAATTCAAAACTAACTTGAAAATTAATCTACTTCTAAATAATACAAAAAATGAGTTTTTAAATTCCGAACCCACTACATTTTACTCTTAATATGTACTCCCCTCCAAATTCCTCTCCTATTTCTCCTCGTTCTCTCTCATCTTTCTTTCTCTCACCTCCCCTCCTCCTACAAGTCTCTCTCTCATCTAGATCTAGCATTCGTGTAGTGTTTTCTGTGTTTGTGTCATTTTCATGTCATACCCAATATCTTAACGGATCGTGTCGTGTAACACCTGTTAAAGTAAACAGGTAATATGACCCAACTCAAAATTGACCTATTAATATTATCAGGTAATATGACCCGACCCGTTACGGTTAAAGAAAATATATTTTAAATCAATAAATAATGAAAATGAAAAACATAATTTGACCCAAAAAAAAAAAAACATAATACTAAATTAGTATATGCATATCACATTGTCACACAAATATTTACTTCAAAACATAAATAAATAAATAAAAACATTTGTCTTTCAAGTATTACATACTCCAAAATAAGAGCCTAATGGAAAAACATTAGTACATTACTATAAAATACCGAATGCTCAAGGATATACAAAATGAGGAGTTGCGTTCAAGGTTGAAGAACCTTGCACATTTATATATGCTTTCACATTTTTTAGACTTGTACATTAATGATTATGAATTTTATTTATTTGAACTCCCTTAAAAATATTATTCATGAGGGTTTGTATGGTTTTAAAAATTCATACGACAATGTACCCATAGTCATAGCGTAGAGGATGCGATCATGAGCCTTTGCATATTTTCACATTTTTGCACTTGTAAATTAATTATTATAGTTTTTTTTTAATGTTTTTGGTATTTTTAAATTACTTTATACATACAATAATACATATTTAGTATACAATATATACATATACACTATGGCTATTGTACATTATAGTAAGTTTTTATAGTAGTTTAAAAAGTTAAAATCAACAAAATAACTTTTTCTTAACGTGTTGAAACAGGTTATCCGCGTGTCACTTTCATGTAAACTTGTTAAGGATCCATTATTAACGGTTCTTATTGTGTTACCCGATAACAACCCGATTAGTTATCGTGTTAACCCAAAACCTGTTATTTTTGTGTCGATTAGTTATCGTGTTGACCTGAAACCCGTTATTTTGTGTCATTTACGTGTCGTGTTAACGGATTGTGTAAGAAATTGTCAGGTTAACTCTCATCTCTGCTATCTCTTATTTCTATCTCTCTCTTTCTCTCCTTCCCTTCACCTCTAGAACCTCTCTCCTATTTCTTTTTCCTATGTCTACTATTTCTCTCTCATCTCTCTTTCCTCCCCTCGTCCCTTTGAATCTTTCTCATATTTCTCTCTCCTTTCTCTGTTCTTTCTCTCTCATTCTCTCTCCTCTTCCTCTCTAATCTTCATCTCCTCTAACCTTCTCTTTAAATATCTCTGTCTATCTAAATGAATTGTGTAGTAATCGATGGGGGTTGTTGTAAGATATTTTTTTATTTTTTTTAATTATAAAATTTGAAAACAATTTTGAAGCTCATACTAAACAAGTTTTTGGATCTAAAAGACAATTGTTTTTAAAATATGTTCTTAACAAATGTTTTGAGAAATTATCAAAAAAATTTAATACAACACTAAACAAACCCTTAGAGACTCAAATTCTGCTCTTTTAAGCAATTATACTTCAGATCCAAATCCAAAGTTTCTAATCTTTCCAAAGTTTAAGGAAATATCAACAATAATTTGAAATTTGCTAGTGATGCAAACCCCTAGGTTGAGATTGAAAGAGATCAGCAGGGTGGGCAGTCCTGGTGGCATGCGCTTACAACTGGCGGACAAGCCATGTGAATTGAAATTGTCGTTTTAATTGTTGGCTCTCACTGACGGCTGTGAGATGTGAATGACAAGGTAGGGGTCTCATAGGTTTGCAGTTAACGCAAGTGTTTTATTGGTGATTGCTTGTTCCAGGTTGTTAGGCAAACAGTGATACAAAGTAGCAAGCGGCGGTGCTTGATCAGAAGATATGAAGGATGAGATCAGAGTGTAGAGGGGGACCTAATATTTTTTTTTTCTATTATTTTTTTAATAGAACTTAGGGGTATGTTTGTTACACCTTCTTAGGAGGGATTGGCTTGGATTGGCTTAAGTAGGACTGTAATCCTACATTTAGTATGTTCTTGGACTAAATAAATGGGAGTTGCCTAAACTCATAGTCCCTCCACGCTTCGCTAAAGATTGTTAACTAATCCCAAGCTTTCTTTTGGTATTAAGGGGGAGTAGAAAGGAAAATGAGGCCAACACCTTCTTCTTCTCTGGTGCCGTCACCTTGGCAAGGCCGACAACTGTGCTTGTTCTTCCATGGCACGAACCAATGGGACAACTATAGCTCACAGCCAAGAAGCAGATCAAGAAGTTGGCGACGCTTTTGTCGCTGGATGTTATTCCTGAGAAGCGGATTGAGAGGTTTGCAATAAAGGTTTATGGGCATTTATATTAGCCATGGCGGACGCCTACTTCCATTTCAAGTTTCCAGTTGAAAAATCTCATTGAATTTGAAGAACCCAAATAAGCGACATGTGAAATCCTATCCCTGGATTTCACTATTTAAAATTATGTATATCGTATTCTTAATTTCGACATGTTTATAATTACGGCGTGTAGTTTTTCTTTTATAAGTAAAATGATGAAAATGCCCTTAATGAACTAAACGGACTTTTCAAGGATGTATTTAATTCCTATGTGTTTTGTCACTTTTATGTACATATTTGGATAGAGCTCGACCTTATGAGTGTGTTGGCGAAAACTGTTCGCCAAACAGAGTTATAATGAATGAGATATAAACAAGCAAATATAGGGGCAAAATGATCATTTGACCATTACCTGAAAGGCTCCAGATTTGCTGGAGCACTGATTTGGTGCCACGTGTATGGCTAGGATGGAGATATGAGGAGAGAAAAGAGGGAGAGACGGGCCAATGAGGGGGAAAATGAGGGAAATGAGAGAAGGGGAAGGGTAGCTAACCTGGGTCACTTATCAACCCACGTGACCCAACCCAGTCCCTGCGTGAATTTTCGACGTGAAATCATAGATTTTTTTGGCAAAATTCGTTGAACCACCACTTAGAACCAACTCCACGACCCTCTTTCCTACATTTACACTCAAACCCAACGAGTTTTGGCTCTAGTTTCGTGAAGAACGACGTTAGTGGCGCCGAGGATCCCATGGCGGCGATGTGCCATTCCTGAAGCCAATTCCATCGATCAACACCACCAATAGACTGCCCTCAACCTTTGGAACAAAGCCCAAGCATTGGTTGGGGCGTTAGAGTTCGTTTTGGCGTCGAATCGAGAATGCCCATTTCTAAGGTTTCCAGCTGATCGAGGTGTTTTCAGGCCACTTCCCAGCCGAATTGGACTTTGACCCAGGTATGAAAATTATTCCCCTTGAATTACTCTACAATTATGTGAAAATTGGTAATTTTTGGAGTTTGTTGGAAAACTGGGTTTCCGTTCGCTGGAAATCGCCACTTGTGGCGGCTTGTGGCCAATGGGCCTGACGATACCTTTTTAAGATAAATTAGATGTCTTGATTTCAGATTTGATATCTGTTTGATGTGATTTGATTGTTTGAACCTAGTTTCATTATGGTCCGCCTCTTGATCATTATAACCATCGATGATCCGAACGTTGGATCGTCGCCAAACTTTAATGTGTTATAGCACGTAATATTTGAGGACATAAGAAACTGACGAATTGAGAATCCAACGTACGAATCTTGATGAATTGAATTTTTAAGTTTGTAAAACTAATCGTTGACCGCCACGTAATTCTAGTAATTGGCAAAGATCCGACCGTTTGATCGTTCTTAAATTTTAGGATATTGTTCTAGAAGATAAATGAGACTCTTGGAAATTACGGATCAAAAATCTGTGGGATATTCCGGATCGAATTACGTAGGGTTGTGAAACTATTGTTGACTGAGAGTTGACTTTTGGTCAACATGTTTCGAATCGTTCTTAAATACTAAAATTAGTACTGCTAGAGACTAAGTGAAGTCTAGTGGGCCTACATTGGTTAGTGAGTGTCTATATATATGTGATAAGTTTATTACTTTGATTTCGTATTTAGTATCCTTGTGGATATCATCTGATTTTATAAATGTGATTTCTATTGAAATGTGATTTTGTATATTTAGCCATCGATCTATGTTTATTAAATGTGATTTGACTTTTGTAATAAAGATGTTTGTGAAATGTGATTTGAACTGCTTGT